AAACGACAGCAGCCTTTATCAGTTTTTCTATGGGCTGTAATCATTGGAGCTGAAATTTTATAGCAGTAGAGAGCTGCTCCAACATGTATCCAAACTCATGTGTTGTAGCCTTCAGCCTGAATGTGACAACATTTACCGACAGAGAGTCAAGTAAAGTGGGGTCTCAAATGTGAGGTCTTCATCTCAGTATCAGGGTTCTTTTTAGAGGAAGAGGCTAGCAACTTTCTCTGTGTTCCCAGGAAAGGCAGCTGTCCTGCTGGCCACACAGAGCAAGAGGACGTGACTCCACTTATGGTTATCTGACAGGAGGAGAGACTAGGCATTATCAGACAAAAAAACATTGACTCCAACAATTCTATGTTAATCTTTGTTGAAAGCATCCTCTAACATGCCTTTGAAATGATGGAATCTGTGAAGCTTATACAGTATGTTTGCTTGATTGAAGACCATTGGTCTTTCCCCCATGAAGTACTGCAAGAGCAGGTTTCTCTGACTGAAATAAAGCTATTGCCTCGAGCTGGGCAGCGATGAAGGCAGGTTGGAAGCTGCTGTGCTTGCCCTTCACTCTTGCCGCTGTTGAGTTTCCTGACTGTTTAGATCGTAAATGATATTCAGTCACTTCAGAAGATCTATGTTGGGTAACGTGGTTGTTGCAACTTCCATTCACTATTTTCTGAGAACTCCAGGGAGCTGTCAATCCAGCAGCCACTCTTTCTTCCACAGGTCTCCCAGCTGTCATCAGGAAGAGGTGGTTGTTTTGAAACCTCCTTGGCTGCCAAGGGGAGATTATATTTGAAACGACAACCTAGAGAGGAAGCAAGACTGGCAATAGATGCCCCAAATGAGGGAACCATAAAAACTGGGATTTATGTAGGGCCACCCAGAGTCATGACAACTTTGAACGACACTTAGGTCATCCTCAAAAAGCCCCATCCCCAGCTGCTGTGGATGCCACTAAGGCAGATTTCAGCCTACTTTGGAGGATTGCCTCAGTACCCATGACAGGAATGCATATGCTTCTCTAGCTAGGCTAACAGCAGTCCAGTCACCCTAGGTCAGCCATCAGAGGGACCTTCCTCTTATGCAGAGTGTCCTGTAAGAGACTGGCCCCAGGACAAGCACATGCTGTGGTTTGGGTGTTTAGTTTTGGTCTTCTATCCCTGGTAGAGTGGACTGAGATGGATGCATGGTGAACAGAAACACCAAGCCCCAGGGAACACCCAGCAACAGCGCAAGGACCAGAGGAAAAGTTCAGGAGAGTAGCAGGGAGCAGAGAGTTCTGGGAGGCAAATGGTGTTGAAGAGATGATAGCAAGGATGTAACAGCCTAGGAAAAGAGAGGAGTGTGGGAACAACAGACCTTGGCCAAAGCAGGCAGCTGTAACCCACCACAGAGAAAACATGTTTACTAAAACATGTTTACTAAAAACAATCCGGTGCCCTTAAGAAATGTTTACCGTAGCAATAAGTTCCTGTTAAGGGCTTGTCCACGGGAACACTCTGACCTTGACCTTTTCCAATGACTAATGGCCTCTTCCTGACCCCCCCCCCACCCCACTGCATCTGGTGTCAGGGCATATAAGCAGCCGGGGTAAGAATAAAGCAAGGGGCTTCTTGAGGCTTTCTTGAAGCTTTCCTGAAGCCTTCTTTCACCACCGACTGGTCTCTGGGTCATCAATCCTGACATCCTCTGCACATTCTCGGACACAGGCTGTGTTAGTGGGCGCGGCCAAGGAGTGACTGGGACAACTGCAAATGCCTGAGCCAGGAGAGTTCCAGAAAGCCACCCAGAGCTACTAGGAAGCAAGGAGGAGTCCAGAACATCAATGGCATCCTGAGTTCCTAGGGTCAGACCTGCAACATGAGCTGCTTCGTTCTGCCTTTTGGTAATTTCCATACAGACCTAGAGACATCCCGTAGCCAGATGGAGACACTAATCCTTTGAAACCAAACTTCCTATTTATGGAACATTTAAGAAATACTTATTTTATTTTATTTTTTAGTCATTCTCCATATTCTCTTCTGGCAGCCACTGCTAACTCAACAGAAAACTAGAAGCAACAGGTTCCAAGGAGATGGTTTCAAAGACAAGAAATAATGAGAATTAACAGCTGAGGGCAGAGAATACTGTAAGAAATTGAATAGGGAAAGCATCATCAAATAAGCAATCATGGCTTCTGAGAATCTTCAGGAGAGTGAATTCTCTGGCTCTTTACAATTTCCAAGAGTTTTGCTTTATTAGAACATAGAGTAGAATGATTCATAGTCAAGAGTTAATCCACTGTGTGAGCAACATGATTATGAAAGATTGCTGAAGCTAGCAAAGCCAAGTTATTCAGGGAAGATCTGCTTTGTCTGATTCCTTTTCTTCGTCTGGCAATGAATCGTCTGCACAGCAGGTTCACTCCTAATGCAAGTGCTTCTTGACCTTTGCTGATACCGTTTTTCCTTGGTTTGACTTAGAAAAAATGAATGAGTAAAGATTCACATTAAAATTAACATAAGATAGAGTTCTTAATGATATATGTTAATGGAAAATAAATGTAATATTCTAAAATAACCTCATACATGAGCCTTTATAAAGAAGTTTTATGCACTTAAAGTTTGCATTGTGGTTTCATATGTATGCATAACCATATATACACCTCTCTATTTCTCTCTATATGTATACACATACATACATTGTAACATGAAAAACATAAGACCTAGATTCACATATTGGTGGTCAGGCTTCAAGCTGAAGATCAGAGAAGCAAGACAGCTGATTTCATAGCATAGCACTCAAACTATGATAAATAAATGTGCATATTTTCTTCATCTTTAAAAATACCTCTCTTTTGTGAGTGTGTATGTGTGTGTGTGTGTGTGTGTGTGTGTGTGTGTGTGTGTGTTATATTTCTTTGCATGCGGGGAGAATGAGAAATGGTCTCCCATTGAACATGGTACCAGTATGTCCCAGTAATCTTTGTTTTCATTCCCAGTGTTGCTGCGGGTGCAGGTCTGTTACAGTTCACCCAGCTTTTTGCATAGGTTCTGGTATTTAAACTCAGGTCTCAATGCTTGTGCAGTAAGTGTTCATACCCTCTGATCCATATCCCCAGTCCAAAGGTCTGTTTTTAAATAACTTAGACCATGGCATTTAATGACACCAGCCTAAGCTAAGTTAGAGTTACTGTTTCCAGAGTTTGCTCTTTTCTTGGTGTCATTTAACTTAGCATAAAGAATATGTATCTTTCCTACAATTTATGACTTATTTCTCCTGTTCCTAAGTTTATATTGGCTATCAATATTTCATTTTTCAGTGTTGTAAAAATATTTCAAACATATTCTGTGACATCAATAATATAAACTCAGAGACTGATATTGGGGTTCAAGCTGACAATCAGAGAAGCAAAGTAGTCAGCCAGTAGCTCTTACCCCTACCTCAAACTGGCTAGCTCCATGAGTCCTCAGACTGCAATAAGAGACTCCTGCCTCTCTTCTGTGGAGACTAAACCTGTCACACAGGACGGTGGTAGCTCATGCCATTAATCCCAGCATTGACGAGGCAAGCAGATCTCTATGAGCCTGAGGCCAGCCTGGTCTACAGAGCTACACAGAGAAACCTTGATTTGAAAAAGAAAAGGAAAAAGAAAAAAATAGGTTTGTGGCAAATTTAATATACAACAAGAAGCAATTCTTCACTCATCCCTGCACCCACCTCATTATTAGTCCCTTCTTGAAACTGGACTGGCTCTGGGACTTACTTTGACTGAATGAATGAGATGGGCAAACGGCACCCACCGTGCCAGCACTCAGCAAGTTTCTGCTTTCTCAAGCCAATGTGCAGTGGGTCCTTAGCTCTTTGATAGATTTTATTGGGAAGACATCAGATTCTCAGGCCAGCCAAGACCAGTCTGATGACTTTCACGTTCATGAGAAAAGTTATGTATGCCTTTTAACTCTCATTTATTTAGCGAGGGTGAATCATTTGATACATGGAACCACTCAATAAAATGCTAGATGAAGGAACATTGGATTCGTTCACAGGGAGCAATATCTCCCAGGAAACATGTTTAAAATGACAAGTTACTATGCAGTTTGGAGGAGTTTTTCTTTCTTTAAAAACAATTCAATTGAAATATATTTCATTTTTCTTCTCAAGAGAAATAAAAACACTATTAGTTTTCAACTAGTAACAATTTTGCAAATAAAAATACAATACCATTGTGTTTGTATTGTGCCAAGGTGTAGACAATAATTCCTTTCTAAATAGTTACTGGCATGGATTTTGGTAAAAAAATATCTGAACAGTGGAGGTGTCAGTGTGCTCACTCATCTATGTTTTCTTGTTTGAAACTCTTTGGGTAATACATGTGAAGAACAGAAGTCTGAATTTATAAATAATTTACAATTAAAGAATCACAAGAATAATGGTTTAAGGAAACATGTCATTGCCAATCAACCATATACTATGGATACATTAGACTAAAAACAACTGATATATTGAAAGTGACAGGAGAGAAAATAATTAAGCATTCCTCTTTTACTTAAGATGTGGTCATCTGTAATCTGGAATAAAATGCCTTGATTCGTATTTTTTAAAGAATTACAATTTATAGCATTCATTAAAAAGGTTCAAGTTCTCAGTGTACAACAAAACCATTTTATCACATGTTGAGGGTAGCCTTTCAGAGCACAGAGTTCAATAGACAATGCCTGTGGGGACAGGTCAAACAGACATCTACCTCTTTGTTATCTGCCATCCACAGGAAGAAGACTGGCTATAAATTACAAGCCTGTTTGGTGTTCAAAGTAGTTTCCAGAATTTTATGATTTGCAACTATGGAACTTGACAAGATCCCAGGATGGTCATGGAATGTAGAGATAATTTCCCTGATCTAGACGGTATCAAAATTTGATGTATTTTAAACACTCTCCATTCGATATGAGAACCCTAAACTCCATGCACATTCTTTATTCCTCTACCCCAATAAAGATCAATCCACAAGGAAAAAGAAATTTATCTTTTAATTTAATTTTTTAATTTTTATTTGAAAAATACAATACACAGCAGAGAATTATTTCCTCCCCCACTGTTCTTTCACAAAGGAAACTAAGGTAAATGTAACTGAGATATTTGGCTAGGATAGATCCTGAGAAAAAGAGAGGCCCAGTTAGAAGTTGAATAGACAAAGTCTGTCAAAGAATGTTCACCTCTCTTTTAACGTAAAAGAGCCTTTTTAAGTTACCTTAGGCATCAAATAACACTTGTGCAGAAGTTCTGCCATGCAAACAGAGACTACTGAAGTTTTAGCTTGAACAATTTACACTGACCTGGGCCCCAAGGAAGTAGAATAAAGTTGAGAGTCTGTATCAGAAAGGTATGTGATTGCCTGCTTTTACTATACTATGTATATACATATTTATATACTGATATTAGTGCTTTCTCTTACAGGTCCTGGGGATCAAACCCAGGGCCTGTGCTGCTAGACAAGAGCTGAACTCCAGCTCCTGCCAATTGTTTTAACATTTTCTTAAATGTAGTTTCCATTATTCTCAGCAATAGCATCATGGTTAAGTAGTCTCTTATGGGTTTGGATTATTCTTATGCCTCTTTAATTTTTCCTGAACTTCATAATCATGCAAACTTGGGTTCTTGATGCTTAAATATTAGAAATGATTTCACCCTGATCCTCCTTTGTTTTGTTTTTCACTTATAACTCTTTTATACTGACCAGGTTTGGGAAGGTACAGAAATTCATCACTGACAGTGACACCCTGATATAATGTTAAGGCCTCCAAGGGGAAAATCATTTGTTCTTGGGTCCTTCTAAAGCAGATGTAGAACTAGTAGAATTAAACAATTGTACAAGCCTGACCAGTCACCTGCCTTTGCTTGATATTATACTCATACTCTTTATTCTAGACCTAGGAAGCAAATTATTACCCACTACTAGTGCTTTTTAAAACAATGTCTTTAAAAGTGATGAAGAAATGCAAAGTTTGCTCAAATTTTCAAAAGAGCTGAATTGCTATAGAGATCTCAATTTTTATAAGAGGGAATTTATTTGGCTTTTAGTAGAAGTGTTTCGACTCCTAAGGGCCTGGAATTGGACAAATGAAATCCATTTGTAAGTAATGGACAAGCTTTTGGTTTTAATTATTTGCTGATTTCTATTGAAAGTAAGAGTAAATTAAATGTTTACTTTCAACACTCTTTCAAGACTAGAAAGTTTTTCTTTTAAATCAATTTCTGCACATATAACTCAAGCATCTTGGGTCAGCAAAGTGACTCATTATTTCATCCTCCTTATATTTTGGTTATCATCTTCATCTTTAATTTCAAATGGTTACTGTAAAGTTAGTCCTTCAGCCACTTTCTGAATGGCAACTGAGGTACAGAGTGAAGATACCTGATCTGGACTTCTCTTTTACAGAAAGCCTCACATCCAGACACTGGAGCTTCCTTATTTTTTATAGAATTATAAACATAACCCTAGATAGCTCTGTATTTGTAAAATGTTTATGTTCATTCATATAAGGTTGACATTTAAAATACTGTACACCTTCTTAACTCTATTTTGGCATTTCTTCATATTCTTTTAACATAGGTAGTTGTTTAGGACTCTAATGGTCTCATAATGGGCTCAGTGTCATGGATGTTGAGGCAGCTGTGGCATATTTGAGGGGAAAAAATACAAGTTCAGTGTAAATCTGAATTTTGGATTTAACTCTCTCCTTGACTAGCGGTATGGTATTGGGCATGTTATCAGTCTTGGCTTCATTTTTTCTCATGTGTAAATAAAGCCATCTTTCAATATTTATACAGGATTTCTGGGAGGATTAAATGATAAAATAAATATAAATACATTTAATTAAAGTATTAGACAATTACAAAAACACATTAATCATATGTCTAGCATCTACATAATAGTATGCTAAGATATGGTTCTTTCCCATTTAAATTATTTGAGTCCTTGGCCAGTAAGGAAGCTTAAGGATAGACTATAGCCATTCTGGAGACACTGTTAATGGTGGAAAGTTACACAATAATAAGGTATCAGGGCTGGATTTACCTTAACGCATTCTAAATATTGCCTGCATTTGAAAATTGTTACTCAACCATTAAATGACAACTGTCAAAGAAAACGTCCAAATAAATTATTTTAATTATGATACATTACTCAGTGACAGTAAAAATTGGCAATTTCCCCTTTAAAAGCAGAAGCACCAGTCTTAGAATGTGTAGTATGAATGGTGTTTTAAGTGTAATATAGCATAATATAATGAGCAAACAATTTAGTATAGGACATACTCTCTAAAAGTAAAATGATCCCACACACTGAAATCTGTTAGAATGGAAATAATGTCATGCTGCATGGTAAAAAGCCCCCATGACTTTCAAAATTAACTTCTAATTAAATATGATACACTGTTGAATAGATGTATGAAAAATTAAAAAAGGCTCATCTAGCCCAAAATAGAGGGTTTTTTTTCTATACAAATATAACCTGCATTGAGGTTTCTTTTCACATAGTCACAGAGATTCTTTTGAGAAACTAAGCCAACCACTTTATTTAAGAATTAATTTGTTCATTATATCATCATGTTTTTACTGAACACCCACACTTTGTGCTAGGCTTTGCAGTAGGTGTTTGGGGATACACAAGGGAAAGCCATGACCCTGCTCCCGAGGAGCTCACAGTCTAGTGGGGTGGGGGCAGACAGGATGCTGTTGAGTTTAAAATTTATAAAAAGTCTCAGACAACTTTATAAATTTCCTGTATAATCAAATAAACTTTCTTATGAATGGATGGTAAAAAGGGATGATGTCCAGTGCAGGGAAACACCATCTGCTTCAATATCATGTGACTTCCGCAAAGGCAGTGATGTGGTTCTGGAAAAGAAAAGGGGATTCCAGAGTCAGAGCCCTGGATTCTATAAAGTACTTAGCATTTTTGACAAATGTCAATTAGCTTTATATAGAATTGTGGCCCACATGCATGTTGCCAAAGCACACAGTGTTATTAAACTCAATTCTCTGTACTGTTACATTATGTTAGCTAATTAAATGTTTTATTCCATATTCTTAATTAGTTGAATAGATTAAAATGGTATACCTGCTTTGTTCAAAATTAAAACTCAAATTTGGGTAGATACAAATGGCAATACCAAATGCATTAATATTCTGCTCACTGTTAATGGAATTTCAATGTGCAAGCTGCAGTTTCAGACTAATTGCTCCCTGTGAGACAGATGGTGTAGCGTGAGGTGGGCAAATGCTTAGACTGAAATAGCATTTGTTAGTTGACAGAGATCTACTTGAATCCTTCACTCTTGATGCGTTAATTCAGACTCCACACCGAAATCTTGGCGTGTTGCTCTTGTTTTTATTTCCTCCAACCACAGGATATTTTACAACCACTAAACCCTTTTTGTTTCTTTGTCTTTAAAAAGCTATCAGTTATTGAGAAATAAACTTTTTAGAATGGCTAATACTGAAATAGCCTTAGTCATGGAATATGCATGCCATAGATGCTGAGATATTGTGATAGACATTTGGTAGTATATGATTAATTCTGACATGAGTGGGATGATATTAAGATCTAGCATGAAGAGCAATCTCATTGGATCACAGCATCATTGAAAAAAGTCTGTCTTGTCACACTACCTATTCAGAGTGCTTTTCATAATAGTTACGTTCAGAGTTATTCAGACAGAATCTTAGGAGATACAATGACCAAGATTAAGCCCAAGTAGATGAAGAATAGAATTTGCTAAGTATTCATTAGCAAAATGTTCTCTCTAGTCCACATCACACCAGCAGGCAAAATACTGAGGCTTGTCCTTGAGTGCAGGTGTCACCTAGAGGAAAAAAATCATTGTGTCTTAAAAGTCATTTCAGGTCCTGACATTCAGAGAATTTAAGTCAGTTTTGGTATTCTGAATGTCAGAGCCTATAGACATAGGTGCTGGAAACTTAGGGGCTCCACCAGAGCAGCAACTGCTCTTCACCACTGAGGCATCTCTCCAGTCCAGTTTAAGTACAATTTTACTGCTTCAAATTCTATGTGAAAATCTCCATTTTACTATTTATTTCTTTATACAGATGTATATGTAACAGGACTAGAATGAAGTCATGATCCATTTATTTATGATGCCACAATTTAGTGGTGACTTACTGTTTGAAAAGACGAGCCACTCCCCAAATCCTTTCCTTAAAAAATTCAGAAAAAGAGGCAAAAGAACATCCCAGGAAAGTACTTAGACACAAGAGATTTCAAAAAATAAATACTTTTTGAAAATATTAAGCTATTTCATTTATTTTTAAATGCTATACTTCTAGTGAGGAAAAAATGGAACCAATAGTAACAACAGCAGACAAGCTAAGGGGTGAGGAGCAGATCCTCTGTGGCTGTGCTGGAAACCTGTGCAGAAGGACATGGTTCTCTGTATTTGCTCTAATTTTTGCAACATAGCTCCAACACCAGTGCGCTAAAGCGCACATACGTTTATTGCCTTAATTGGAGGTGCTCGCAGTGGCTAATCCCCATTATCCAGCCGAAAAGCCTGGCAAGGCAGTCTTTAAAGGACCTCCCCTCTGAATTTTCTTCTTGATCATCTTCAATACATTGATTTTGAAACACCTACAAAACGCATTTTACATATTATTTAAATATTAACATCTTTGCATCAGAGAAACTACTTGCTACTTCATAGTTCTAGGTTGTCATGTTAGATGACACAAAATGAGTTTAAATAATGTTTATAAAAGCATCCTAATGCCAGTTGGTGTCATTTATTTATTCCTGGCATACAGAGGGACTCTGGGAACCCATACCATGTGGAGGGATGCTCTCTCAGCCTGGACACATGGGGAAGTAGACAGAAATGAATATAGTTCCCTTTTTCAAGATGGCACAAAAAGACCTCATATCTTAATACAAAATATTTCACATCCTGCAAAACGTATGGCACTAAGGATTCTGAATAAGGAAACAGACCACTGTTAAATTCACCAGTGAGTCCACTGTTATGAGGATGCTGTCTGCCAGGAGAAGTTAGATTGCACGTCATAATAAAAAACAATGCCATGCTTCATTTTGCTATTTGTTTCCCTATTTCATTCATTGGCTGCATTGAGACAGGGAGCATGGACAAAAGGGAGAACAGAAAGCATACCTATAATCCCAGCAAAAAGATAGGCTACAGAGTTCAAGGGCAGATGTTGATACATAGTGTGATCAAGATTAGTCTGTGTTACAGAGATTCTGAAGAACCAAAAAGAGAAACAAAAGTAGCACCCCAGAAGGAGAATGTGTTCTCTGATTCCCATGAATGTGCCACGTGAAGACTTGGAGTGAGATAATTTAGTAAAGAGGAATCATTTTAAATTTAATGATAAAATTATTAGAGAAATTCAGACTTGAGGCTGTGTAATTGGTTGGAAATTTCAAAGTAAGCAATTACTTTGATTAAAGAAACTGAGAATAAGGGAAAATAAAAAGCTCAGACATGAGCTTCTTTGGCCCAGAGGATTTTTTTAGAGTTTCTTTCTGTATTGTGATTTTGTTTAAGTGCAGAATTGTATATTAATTCAGAGTTTTCTTTTCATTCAATAATCTCCTCTTTGTGCAATCAAAAGGGGGAAAGGGCTACTTTCTGAGAGAATTCTCTCTGCCTATGAAGAAGGGATCGGTGGGAGGCTTCCTTTGACAAGCTAGATAAATAAAAGTTTCCTCTAGGCTCTTCTGGGGCTTTAGCCACAGATCTTAGGAGCTGAGTAGCCAGAGAAGCTACAGTTCCCAGTCCAGATCTTTAGATGCCCTGTCGCTCTTCCTGGGATTCATGCTGTAGTTTGACCAAGAATAGGCATATCCCCAGAGGCTTCACCTTAATTGATCCAAGGCCTCACACAACCACCAGAATGCAGAAAGGCTCTCTGGTTGATCTTCATGTGCAGCCCGTATTGAGAGCTGCTGCATCAGATCAGCTAATCCATCTGCATCAAGGCTAAGTTTTGGTTTAATATCCACAATACCCAAGAAGCCTGATGTATACTATCCCCATCTCCAGAACTAACCCAGTGCCTTTTGTAGAAGAATCCCTGGGCTTGTGGCCCAGTTTTTGAAAGTGCTATAAAAGACAGCTCTTGGTTGGTGTAGATATTTAAATACTTTATCCTCTAAGTTTCAAATCCTTCCTAAGGATCAGCACTTACCTGTCTATCACACCTTTAGTCCATATTCTCAGAAATCTATCCTGTTTATGAATATAAACTTTTAGCTTCTCTCATCTGACTTCAAAGTTTGACCTTGTGGACATTTCTGGAGTGCTAATTCCTACATCCACCCCTGCTTTAGGTTCATTTTTTCCCCACTCATCTGGACCCCATGATGATCTGACAGTGCTTAACAACATCCCCAAGCCTCGTATCCCTGTGGTCTTGCTTTACCTGTGGGCAAATGGTTCTCCAGTCTCCTCTTCTTGGGTGATGCTGTGAAGTGTAGGTGAGTTTCCCCTCTATGTCATCATCTACCACAGCTGTCGTACTACCCTCTGTGTCTGTCTACAAAATACTCTCCTTCATCGCTACATTGGAAAATCAAAAGACCTGAGGGACATACTACAGACTTTTGACTAGGTATTTATTCAAGTTTAATTTATTATAACCCTAATAGAAATCACTTTGACATTCTTAGTAACCTGTACATTAATATTTATACTGACTGCATTCATAATTCCCTTCAATTGCGCTCAATCCAAATGCCCTCCAAACAGATGATGGGAAAAGAAGCTGTGATACTGTGATACGGTCAAAACACCCAGAGCAACTCTCATCAACAAAAGTAAGGATGGAAATCCCGTTGGCACACCTAAAAGAAGTCAGACTCAAAAGCCTGAATACTGTGTCAGCTTGTTTATGACACACTGAGAAAGACAAAAGTACAGGGCAGAAAGCAGGTCAGTGGTTGCCAAGGGTAGGGGTTGGAGGTGGGCTGCTTATCATTAAAAGCAGACAGTTCTGGACAGATTAAAATTTTACAGCTTGAAATTGTTGATGGTTACATGAAAGCTTACTTTTGTTATAACTCATAAAATTGGGAATTTTAGGGAATAGGAAGCTATCTCTACATGCTTGCTCCCCAAGATTGAGGACTGAAGTTTCACCCGCACAACCCACTTCAAAAATGCCAGGTATGGTGGCACACATTTGTAACTCTAGGGCTGGACAATGAGAGACATGCAGAGAACTCTGGGGCTCACTGATTAGCCAGTCAGTCCCATGGTGGTAAGAGATCCAGTCTCAAAGACAAGGTAGATGGCATCTAAGGAAGAGGCCCACAGTTGAGTCTGGCCTCCACAGACACATGCACATGAACACAGGTACATATGCACCTGCACACGCACAGGCACACACAGACAAAGGGAATATCATAGGCTATAAACCAGTTATTATACTGAAATTTAATTTTAAAAATAGAACTGACATCTATGATTTGCCAGAAATCAATATAACAGTGTCTAAAATTTGTTTTTTTAGACATGGCATCATTAATTCATCATCTAATTGTTTTAGCTGCAGAAGAAAAATATAAAATAAATGTACTGTAAAATATTTTAACAACACATTGAAAATGAGCTACCTTATTTATTCGTGGTCTATTAGGCAGACGAAGAGTCTCAAAAACACTATTTTCCTTTGTTAAGAGGACATGGATGAATGAATTAAACCCAAAAAATTCACTCTCCATTCAGTGTTTCTCTTCCTATGAACTGAAATCATTACCTGATCTTACAAGGGCACATATTATAATTTTTACCTTAGTAATGTTACTAACTGAGGGAAATGGAAGGAGAATCTTTCATGCCTAATTAAGAAGATGCTTACATAATTTACACAGATTATAATTTCTCCAACATGCTTTCATTGTTACACTACAGTATAGTGATCTTGAATTTGCTCTCTGAAATTATCACTGTACAACATAGTGGCACAAAAATGAAAATACCATTTTGTATTATGGGCAGTGTTGTGACCCTGGGCATATTACTTTATTTGTGTCTCTTTCTCTACATAACTGCAATTAGGATATTCTCTAATGTTTTCTTATAGAAACAAAATGACATATTATGCATAAGGTTCTCTGTCTAATTTGAGATACCTGTTAATCTTTCACAGAAGCTTAGCTTCTACTGTTAAGTTTGATGATATGATGGTTTTATTTTTTGATTTATAAATATCTATATGATATCAGATTGAGAAAACCCAATGTTCAAAGATAACTCTCCCTATAGAAACCTATGCACACAACTCCAAGGTTTTTATCTTTCGTTTGTGAGACAGACTTTCATTGCGCAGTGTGGGTTAACATCATAGTCATGATGTGGGCAGCATGATTTCCTTGCCTCACTCTTCAAAGTTCTAAGGGATAGAGGTGTAACATCACACATGATTTTCACACAGGGTTTTGAAATCTGTTCAGAAAATTTTCCAAGGGGCTTAGGAAGATGGCCGAGTCAGCAAAGTGCAAGCATTCAAGTATGAGAACCTGAGTTTGGATTCTAAATACCCAGGTAAAAAGCTAGGTGTGGCAGGTATAACTATAATATGGTGCTATGGGGAAGGATACAGGTTCATTGGGCAGCTTGTGTAGCTGAATTGATTGGGATTGGGGTTAGTGAGAGACCATGCCAGAAAACAAGGTGAAGAATGATAGAAGAAGACACCAGATGCAAACATTTGGCTTCCATACCCATATGCACACATGTAGGGGCTCATCCACATGTGTACACACTCACGCAAACAATTATATGCAACCCCACATACACACATACATAAATTCAAGTTCTCATGTCTACTTCCTGTTCATTTTTTTGTTTTATTTATCTGAGTATGTTCTCCCTTCTTCTTCACGTTCTTCCATTCCCTCTCTTCCTATCTTCCCTCTCTCCTCATCTCTTTGCTCTCACCTCTCCTCTTTTCTTTTTATTTCCTTTTTTTCATATCTGGTATCCAGCTCAGGGTCTCAAGCACAGTAGTGTAATGTGTATCCTTCCTGCCAGCCACTTGGGTCGCACTGCTGTCTCAGCCCCCAAATAGCACATAGGATGCTATATTAGTTATAAGGCTTTTGGCCATTTGTTTGATTTCTTATTGGCTATCTCTGGCTTAATTATTAATCCATAATTACTAATATGTATTTCTATAAGGACTTATTTTTCTAAGGACCCAGCCTCATATATCTTCTCCCCACTATCACATGGCAACTATTCTCTTCACTACATTTCCCAAATCCTCCTAGACACCTAGTTCCATTTATCTTGCTTCCCTATTGGCCAACAGTGTTTTAGTTACATATATACAAAAGGACTTCCACCATCATCTCCTCTTTTATGTCTAAATAAAAAGAAATGTTTTAACTTTAACATAGTCAAATTACATATAACAGAACAGTTATCAAACAAGAACTATAGTTACAATATTTGTCCATTAACATTTAGTAAGATTTTGATTACTAAACTATAACCTCAGACCTGCATTTTAAGTTTTCACAAGATATTAAAATTAGTGACTTTTGCATTTTGTTTGCCTCTTTACCTAAAACAATAAATTAAAGACTAAGGATTTGGTTCATAAGACAGT